GGGTTGACAGATAGGGGTAATAGGGGTTGACAGATAGGGGTAATAGGGGTTGACAGATGTATAAGGACTGGTTGGCTGCAAGCCGTGTCAGTATGACATTGTGCTGATATTGATGTACTTTTTGGCCATTTGGCACAATGTGGCTCTGCATTGTTACACCTGCACTTGAGCCAGATAGTCTACTCTATACTACTCATTGCACCCTAAGCCATTGTTAGGTGTTTCACCCAGGCAACTTACCACTACTGTTCCAGAACCAGAGATCATCCTTGAAAACCAATCAAATAGTACTTACAAGCTTTGCTTAAAGTACGACTTCAATACCAGCCAGCCCTCAGACAGACTCCGGAGCTGGACTGGAGGCTCACGGGCCACCTGTATATATTCCTCACAAATCTTGAGGCTCAACCATCAAGGATTTGTCTAATCTCATCCCATTTGGCCTCAGACAGCACCAATCCATCCTGTGTCTGATTGCCTGCATACAGTGACTTCACATATCTTTATACTTGATCCCTCTATCATCATTTATCTGTTATACTACTTGTGGTATCCCTACACCTAGTCTCTTTTACATTCCTATCTTCAACAAGCCTGAACCTCCCTTCTACCAATTCATCCATCTCAGAGAGCAGTTGGTATCCGCAGTGTCACGGTATCCTCTCCAGATCCCCTGACAATATCCGGATCCGCTTCGTACTGTCCCTGACCGTACGCACCAAATCCCCAGCGTCTTTACACTCCTCCAAAGCAGACGTACAACCTCTGGTCACCTCCGGAGCAGGCCTGCAACCTCCGAAGCAGGAGTATTAGAATTCTGCAAGCCCCGCTCTGGGACTTGCAACCCCGATACCTATCCAACTCAGTTCCAATTATTAACTGGTAACCAAACGAACCCACACATAAGTATATAGACTATTGCTGGTAGAGTTCTGTTCGGTACACAATGTCTTGTACCTACTTAGATACCGTACGTAGTAATTGATTTAGACTCCCAGCGAGTCCTAAAGGGCCTACTCGTAGCATCTTCATGACACCCTGTCCTCATAGTGTTCATTTGCAACACCCTGTCACCATTGTTTTGATCAGTTTTCTATCAACATTAGGCCTTGAGCATTGGATATTGCGCCTAACAGTGCAACGGTCCATTGAAGTATTGTGTTCTTCAAAATCCACAATGCTCTACTTGTGGACTTAGATGTTACATTGTCATGGCTGACCAAATGCCCAATTGTAAACAGGTCTATCTCAAGCAACAGCGCAGATGCAAAGAAGAGCAAAGAAGAGCAGTGCAAACGCGAGGAAGAGCAGCGCAGATGCCAGGCAGCGGCAGATGCCAGGCAGCAGAGCATGCCTATGAGCAAGAACAACACAGACGTGAAGATGAGCAGGGTGGACAAGAACAAGAACAGTGCAGACGCCAGGCAGCA